AGCATTATGTACTGGATGGGGAAGTTGTGGTTAGTAAAACCACACAAAAATCATCTTACATCCAAGCTTTATTCTTGGAAATGTGGTGAAAATAAGAAAATATTACCATGTACTAAACTGAGCTGGTGAAACATAGTAATCTTTATACTACATGTTTGTTTGCCTGTTAGAAAAGTTGCATTTCAAATTAACTACAAAGTACTTTATAAGACTAACTAGATGCTGAGTAGCCCAACTTTACATTTACGCCATAAACGCAACACAAAGAAGAAGCCATGTGGGGAGTAGGATGTGATTATTTTCTTATCACTGACAAAGTATCTCGAGGACTTCACTGAAAGAAAAGCCAGGGTGCAGTACATAGAAAATCATGGCATTTAACAGTTGTTTTCACTAACCTGTCAATCCGATTTAATTAATTTTCTCTAATTGAAGGAATGTTGTTCTGGAATGTGACTTTGACCTCGTGCATCCTAGCTTTAGTATATTGATATAACTTTTAGTCAAAGTTAAAAAGACATTATAGAAAAACACAGATGTTTATTATTAGTGCAATAGCAGAAAAATGATCAGCTTTAATTAAACTAAATGTAGGAATGAAATAAACTCTGACAAAGAACAATTTCATTGTTTCTGAATCAGACAGTATTTGTCCAATTTCAGGTGCTTTGCTAAACTTGGCCGCTTCTTTGTTGCAAACAGATAAACTGCTGTGAGAGGAGTACTTCATATGAAAAGGCACATTTATTAGCTTTGCTCAGCGCTCTTCGGGACACAGTCATGCTTATTTGTTCATTGAAATTAGGCGCAAGAGTTTTTTTTGTTGAATTATGTTTGGATTATAATCAGGCGGCAAGCAGAGACATGTTTGTTTTATTAGCAATTTCTACACTGGCTGTCTGAGCCTCGCTGGGCGGAAAGGCGTACACTCTCTTCTCCTTTTTCAAACTCTTGCTCAGTAGTGGAAAAGTTAGGATTAAAAAGTAAGGTTTCATATATATCATACATGTACAGGTTTTTGTGTGAAGGCAGATGTCTTTATCTGATCAGCCAGTATTTTAGGCTTGTTCTTGTTATTACCCATCATGTAATGTGACATTTGATGAGTTAAACTTTTGCAGTACTATGAAAAAGTATTTGCCCCTTCCTGACTTCTTCTTCGTTTCTTTTCTTTTTTCTTTTTGTGTGAATTTTATAGGATTTTTCACATCATCAAATAAATATTAATATTAGACAGACCACCTGAATAAAAGAAAAAAAATTGCAATGAAGCCAATGAGTCTTTGACATCGCTGTAGAGGAATTTTGGCCCACTCGTTTTTGCAGAATTGTTTTAATTCAGCCACATTGGAGGGTTTTCGAGGCTTTGCAGCTTTTAACATGTGGGTCATGCTAAAGGTTTCTTTGTTTTTCTGAGCCACCTTTTCTGACCCCAAAACAAAATGAACATTTTGGATTGGCCGAGTCAAAGTGCAAACTTAAATGCATTTGAGATGCTGTTGCATGACCTTCAACAGAATTCCTCCACAGCGATGTGAAAGACTCACTGCCAGTCATTGCAAACACTTGATTGACAAGGACTTGTGCTTACCAGTTTTTAGGTTTAGGGGCAATTACTTTATCACAGCACTACACGTGCGCTCTAAACTTTGCAAATATAGTCCAAGTTCTCACCCAGGTTTTCACATCTGGTTTTATCTTTGCATTAAGCTGTCACTATGAGACTGTTGTCATAGTGACCCCAGTGTTGCCTTCAAAAAGACAGATGGCAATTTCTGAATTTGTGCAGATCCCTCGTGGTTACTTTCATGTGGCCTCTCCAGTTCCTCTTCTATCTTCTTTTTGTTGTCCTCTCACCATCCATTTAATTTAACACACTGTTTAACACACACTGAAACTCTGACACTTTCTGCGTCCATTATTCTGACCAAGTCCCACATGAGGATTTGAATACATCTATCAATGGCGAGCTTGTATCCTCCTGAGAAAGCAGTCTTTCATAGAGAATCGACAAGCCAAAACCATACAATGCAGCTTCTGTGTTGTAAGGACTTGAAGAAGCTTTTGCATATTTTCCTAATTATTTTTTTTCTACAGTAAGACATTTGAATATGTTCTTTATCTGAAGCATCATAAGGTTTCTCTGTTTCGCTCACAGGGTGAACATCCCATCCACCTCTCCACAACTTTCCTTTTTTATGCCCAGTAATGGTTCTCCCCATCCTGCCTCTTTCTAAACCACACCGCACCATAAAAGCTGTATGTGTTGTGTGAATATTCCTTAATATGGTGCAGCTGTTGTGCATGACAGTTAATTCCTGGTTTTGTGCTTTTGATTTGAAAGGATGCCCACGCTGCATATTTACTTCTCATTTTGTTCTTTTCCAGCACTTGTGTTTTCATTTAATAGTTGTATTAGCCGTGTGAAATCTAATCTAAGCATTACACTTACATGATTTCCCCCTAATCGTTTGTCTATTTGACAATCTAAGTGCTTAGAGTTTTCTTTGCTGTAATTCAGCCCAAATGAACTACTGTTGTAGTGTCTTGATGCATGAAACTAGCACTACTGAGGTCAGTTTCTTGACTATTAATATGGAAATTGTCATGACCAACAACAACCACTGATCAGAGACCACTGATCAATGGCCATTCACACAGGGTTGTGGAATTGCTGCAATCATAACATTGTAAGATGCTGTGATTCCTTCAATTCAGAGATGGTCTTTCCCTTTTTCAGTAAACGGCCTCCTTGATTTCTTCAACTAACCTGTAGGTGTGAATAGAGTGCGGAGTCTTGGTCTGATGAGTTAGCTCTTTTGTGTTTTGCCATGCACTTCACCAGAGGTTGTGGGGTTTTCCCCGTTACTCTGTGGGGGACCAGATCCTTGGGGTGGACCAATTTTTGGCACAGAGTATTTTGGTGTTTGAAAGCCACAGGGACACAGTGTCTCTGTGGCTTAAATACTAACAAATCTTAAATACTGATCTGTATGCGTTGGTTTATGTTACACATCAACTTTTGAATCTCACAGTCTAAGAAGGCTAACTTGATATTTTGGTTAACTTGATGTGTTGGTGCACTGAGTTAATGTGACCAGTGAACCGTGGTATATCGTCAGATTTGATTTTCACCCAGGTGTCATCCACATACCTGAACCAATGATTTGGTGGTGTTCCAGGGTAGGACAACAGAGCCCTCTTTTCCACTTCTTCCATGAACAAGTTGGCCACAGTGTTGTGTTGTTTGCCCATGTTTTTTTTCTGTTTTTTGTACTGACCCGTTTTTGTAAAAAATGTGGAAAGAAGACAGTTCCAAAAGCAAACACACTTGGTCAGTGCTGAGAGTGCTCCTGTTGTTGAAGTTAAAGTCATTCTGTAATTTCTTACGAGCTGCGTCCACCGCTTCAGTAATGAAAGATGTAATAACATCCCTTTGTCAACAAAATCTAATGTCTTTTGGATGTGGTGTTTAGAGCTGCCTACCAACGTGTTGAGAATTGAAGCCAGAAACTTTGAGATGTCATAGGTGAAGATGATGGGGAAGGCATACTGTAATAAAAGGATAGAGTACAAATGGCACAATGTATCTCCAACTGCCACATTTGTAAGAAAAATACACATACTGTTAGGATGCCTGGGTCGTCGACCCAGGGCTTTTGAGTTATATTATTTATACTGTCTAGTTTTTTGGTTTCTTTGAGTTCTATCTAATGGCTTATGTCTCTGTCTTCTTTAGTTACTCTGTCTCCCCTATCACCTGCATCCCCTTGTCTAGTTCGTGTCTATGTGTATCTTAAGTTCCTATATCCCCGTGTTCAGTCAGTGTTTGTGTCTGCCCTGTTCCCACGTCTCTGTTCCCTTTGTTATAGTGCCTGCCCGTGAGTCTGTGTTATGTTTCCTGTTTTACGTTGAAAGTCCATGTCTGATGTTAATGTGTCTGGTTTTTTTTCCCCCTTGTCTCGTTAGGCCTGATTTGCCCCAGCTGTGTTTCCCTCCTGTTACCCATTCCCTGATTGCTCCCTCTGTGTATTTAAGCCCTGTGTTTCTTGGTGTCTGTGTCGCGATCTACCGTTTATTTTGCTGTGTGTTCTGTCATTCCGCCGGTGTTAGTTTATTTTTTGATCTTTTTCCAGTTTTGTTATGTTTGAGTTGAGTTCAGCATTAAAGCTGTTTT